GGAATAAATCAGGTAATTTCTACGTTCCTTAGGTTACTCTGTGGTAATCTGTCGCGACTCACAAAACCAGTCAACTGAGATTGTTCGAACGATTAGACCACCGAATTCCCTGGTAGGAGCCTATCAACAACGAAAACCAACGACAGAGTACAGTACGATGGCTCCATCGTTTAACATCGTCTTACCCTCTCACTCGTGACCTTGAACAAGTGAATTCCCTCTGACCCTTCCTGTGATCTGATTGGATCATATTTTGCGATTTGCAGCAATTCGAATCCCTCACCCCATAACGAGACTCTGATTATCGGCTTATACGTTTTGTGATGCTCTTGTTGTCCCGTTCAGTCCATCCGTGTGCTGATGGCACTTCTGTTGCGCAGTCGAAGTTCACTGGGCCTGCCTAAGACTCGCGGCTGTGAACAAGGTGTGCCTTCTCACTCGGATTAACTGGGCAAGCACCAGGTTCCTTGCTGTGGCNATTTTCGAGCCGGCACAGGAGGAGGATAGGTTCAGAATCCGATGCTGCCTAAGTATTGGTAGAGAATCACCACGAAAGAATCAGTTGTGGAGCAACGTGCCATGTGGGTAATTCGGAATGAAAAACGCTCAAGCGTTGATCGTGCATGATGTATTGGTATTAGCGAAGCACGGCCCGATACATGTTTTCAGTGTGAGAGTGACAAACACACACAGACGTCTACGAGCACTAGATAAACAACCAATATGTATGCCTTGGGAATTGGAGTGTGTCACTGAGGTACATCTCACAATCGTCCCCGCTCCCCGCAATTCGACGGGAGGCTTTGTGGTCTTCCGGACAATGCTGGGAGGCTTAAACATTACACAGGCTTTTCGGGGCGGACGAAGTCAACGAGACAGCTTAAAATGTCACCCCGGCACCTTGAAACGATGCTCAGACTACTTGAAATGATACACAGACATCTTGAAATGATATTCGGACAAATTGCAAACGTATAGACAGCGAGCAACTCCTCTTTGAATCCACGTTTGGCTGGCCTTACCAACAAAGACTTGCGCTGTTTCCAACTGTCTTATTGGTCTACTCACCATGAGACCAGATTCGGCGATAGTTTTGGCAAGACACATCGAAGTGTATCCCCACTAGTGTTCTATTGAAAGCCATATAACGTGATTAGTGCATTGACTGTCACACGGGAACTATTGACCAGGGTCTATCACAGTATCAGGCCTTTGGGAATGCCACAAATTTACATGGATTACCGAAGCTGAATGAACGTTTCAGTCCTGTGTGATTCAAACTGTTCATCCTCCGGGAATGCTAAGACCTTGGTCGGCGATCCAGTGCGGTCCTGACGGGAATACACCAACCCGGTAGTAATAGATTTCGGTTGACCAGTTGAAAATCTAAGTTTCGATAAAAATCAATGAAAAAACGGAACAGAGTATTACAAAGTATGAGGAATAGCATATGTCTTTTGCGAATATTATAGAAATCTGTTGGGTTTTACCAAACTGTAAAGTCAACTTAAAACAGGAATCCGAACAAATGTATCCAAAATACAACAACTGCATGAATATTGCACTCTGAAAGCAATTGAGCGTGCTGATCATTCAACAATTCATGCTAATACATAATTTCAGACATGTGTGCTATGTGTAGTTTTCAAAAAATAATTTCACAGCAATTTTCACATAAATATCGTTATGGTGATCGGAATAGATTATAAACTAAACCGGAAGATTTCGGTAGCAACATTGACCGAAACAAAATCAATTTACCAAACCTGTACCCAAGTATACTGGACCGCTTTTATTGTTTCATCTTGTTTCAATCCGCTGTTTTCAATGGCAGACTGCGATCAGTTATCACTGGGTTCATTCATCCTCATCTAAACCGAGGGTACAAAGTTCCCGGCCAACTTACAGACAGGCCACCGCTTCATTTATATTTTCGTTCTAACTCGGTAACTCACCCACTAATTGCTTTTGTTTGTTTATGGAGAAATCAGGTCTGGTATTTTTTTATTACTCACCAGTGTGTGATGAACAGCATACGGGGCGGACATCATAATCACAAAGACCTGCTGTTGAGTGATGGTAACTGGCAACCTGATCCCGAGACTTGGAATGGCGAACCACATAAGGCCCCGATAAGTCAGGCGTGGTATAGAACCGGGCGAAAGCAAAGATATCTACCATCAAAGTAGGGTGGTTTTGGCGATGGCGGGGCTCGAACCTCGGACCACAGGGTCCAAAGCATGTTGGTAACAGCAACTAAACCACTGCGCCACCACCACTCGTTTACTCAGTAGTGTGATGACTAATACACTAATCACTTTATAGTGGTTACCGGTAAAACGCACCTGGTGGATTCCCCTTAAGTTACAACGCTTTCGCTTGAACTAAAATTTGTCTAGAATGAAGCCGTTCAAGCTTACGGCGGTCTGAATTAGGCCGATTCGAATACTAGGCATTTTCGTGGTCAGAAATAAGGTTGTCATAATTCCAAACATTTACATATTTCATTCATAGGCTGCCACTTGCATTTTCAATAGTAAACAAACAACAAAAGACATAACACAAATGTGGATGCCCGGTATTTCAATGATACTACGTGCTTGCGCCTTTGGCCTAACGCTACAGTCTTTGGGATGGTCGGGTACCGATGTAACGCACTTTGACGCACAGCGTCCGTAACTGTAGCAAAGTATTTTAAGTGCACTTCACAATCAGTATTCCCAGGTATCATGCGAGGAGGCTACAGTAACTTTGAAAGGACTCTCTGGCATTTTCATTTATCTGTTTATCATAGGTTGCAAATGTTGTATGTTCTGAGGGACTACTTCACTGACCACCACAGGGTTATTTTAATATTCAGCTGTTTTTGCTAGATTTTATTTTTCTCACTATTAGACCTGCGTCTCAAGAGACGTGATGCAATAGCCCGGTATCATTTCTTTTGAACTTAATTCAGTATGGCGATCGCAATCAGCGTGCCACGCGATAGGGTGGTAGTCGAAAGAAAACAAGTTCAAATATGATACAGCTCCTCACAGCTTTGTGTGTGTGCCTCAGTTAGCCTTCGATCATGGAATGAATCCTCTCAGTGTTTACCTTAGTACAGTGGCCTGGAGATGACAGGGCTGAAACGGATGCTAGAAGCTGATCATCCCGATTATGGGTCCGTCATTCATTACTACCCTTTCGACAGACAGACACACGAGACGGCAAGAAGCAGAAGTAATATGTAATAGAAAAGAGCCGCATTTCTGATCCAACCTATCTATCTATTCCCTTTCGACTTTTCTCCATAATTCAATCTCGGATCATTCATTTTTCACAAGATTTGCTGTTTACCGCTATGAGGACTTTTACCCTACGTTTTGCATTTACCATTACATGGTCGATCGGTGGAAGCAACTAGACCAATGAACAAATGCATGCCCAGTCTGTTTTTGTAGCAATTGATTGAGTTCACTTCGCCTTATGTTTGATTCCCGTATCAGGTACATTATGATTTCGGGTTGCGCAATATTTTGACTGTTTTACGTACACTGGGTGCAGTGAGACGGAATAACAAAGATGAGCCGGAGGAAAACATTATGATGCGCGTATTGCGAGATATGAATCTGAGCAAACTGGTCGATCAAGACGAGCCGCTATTTCTGTCCCTCCTTCGAGACATTTTCCCTCTGGACATTCCGGAAAAAGAATCCAATTATGAGAAGTTTACTATGGTTGTGGAAGAACAAGTGGTAAAAGCCGGTCTGATAGCTCACAAACCTTGGCTGGTCAAAGTTTTCAACGTGAGTTCTTTTTGAAATTTCATTCGCTTGGATTTGCTGTATAATCAACATCAGCACCAACCGCTTAAGTGGGAACAAAAAACGGAACAGAGTGTGCATGTTATATCCAATCACAGATCCGTTCATACGCGCTGAAACTCCCTGTAATCTCGTAAAGAACACAAAATCAGGCAAACAGTTGTTTTCGAAAGTCCCAGAGGTGCCATCACAACTTAGGTGATTTGAAATCCCGGCTATGAAGAGACTACTAATCTTACTTAAAGTGAATCCAACGATCGCTTAATATTGTGAATCACAAGATACGATTGTACATTGGCCGTCACATGTCACTATTGGATCGGATCTATCACAATAACAGGTCATTCGGACTAAACAGAAGTCTTCTTTGCAGATTACGACTGGTGAATCCGAAAAGTTATCAAAATGAATGCCAGACCATGCAAGAGGTTAGGAATAAAAAA